CTGGTGTAGGTAGAATGAAGGAAGGAATTATAGGCTGTATTCTGTCATCAGGTTCTATGTCAGAATGTGCAGTTTTACTATGTAAGACAACCCAGGAACAAACACAGTAAACAGAAGTTTGTATTTTAAATAATGGTTTTATTTATCTACAAAGATAACACGTACTTTAGTCAGACCTCAAACAGCAATCAGCAATTACAGCAAGGAAGCACACACGGAGAGACAGAGAGAGACATCCCAACAGGGCCTCTTCCTATTATATGCTCTTAAAGTGATATCAGCCCAAAAACCTTGCTGACTCCCAATATTACATCATCATAGCAGCTGGTCAACACTTAAATCATTACCCTGACATTCTAGCAGAGGTGGTATTCAGCCGCTTCCAGAGGTGGTATTCAGCAGGTACTAACCAGTTCTGAAGAACTGGTAGTGGAAATTATGAGTAGTTCGGAGAACCGGTAGCAGAAATTTTGAATAGTTTGGAATACCACCTCTGACTAGCCCCGCCCCCATCTATTCTCTGCCTTCTGAGTTCCAGTGGATTGGCTGGGTCTGCTTTTGTTGCCATGCACAGGAGAACGGAGCTGGAAAGCATGTTAGGGGGGTGCGGGAGGGAATGGGATTTTGCAGTAACTTCCCCCTGGAGTGGGGTGGGAATGAAGATTTTACGGTATCCTTCCCCTGCCATGCTCACCAAGCCACACCCACCAAGCCATGCCACACTCACCAAGCCACATCATACCCACCAAGCCATGCCCACAGAACTGGTAGTAAAAAAAAAAAAATGAATACCACCACTGCATTCTAGCATAATATTGCTTAAGAAAGGTGACTCCTAGGTTCTTCCTGTGATTGTAAAGGTTCCCCTGGCCAACTGCAAGCAACTTTGCTTTAGGCCAGAAAACCTTCCCTGGCATTGTTAATGTCTGTTCTGGTTCAACAAGACAGCAATCCTTCACTTCTACATAGAATAATTATTATGAATGTATATATTTATACCCCAACCTTTATTGTTTTTATAAACAAAGTGGTGAACATATCTAATGCTCCTTACTCCTATTTCCCCCACAACAGCAACCCTTGGGAGGTGAGTTGGGCTGAAGAGAGAGTGACTGACCCAAGGTCACCCAGATGGCTTCCATGGCTAAGGCAGGAGTTGAACTCATAGTGTACTGCTTTGTAACTTGGTGTAATTAGGGGAGAACTTCATTTCCACTCTCTTACAATATTCCCACTGTAATTCATTTTGCTAAGTGACAGATAGTGTCTGGAATTCATCTAGCACAGGTATTATTGAGAATTAAACAAGTAACTTAAAATATTCAGGGAATTGCATTGCGTTAAGTTGCTTTACAATGGTTTAAATGTATAACACTGACCTTTTGGACATCTTCTAGAAAGTGCCTCGATAAAGGACACGGATATAAAATATAGATTAAAAATTCTGACAGCATGAGAGCATTTTCCCAATGTGTATGGATTATGTCACAAGCTGTATTTCTACTGTCATTAAAATACGAATATATACTATGAGGTATCCCTGGATTTATTGCAAGATGAGACAAAAATGTGAAAATAACTACATTTTATTATTTGGAATGTCATTTTTTCCCCCTGAAAGCAGATTTGTGTTTTTTTAATCCCATGTTAACAATATTACCTACAGATGCTATGTTAAGAACACAAGATGTAGAGAAATATGACTAGGTGTCTGATTATCTTCAGGACCTCTTATCTCCACTAGCAGCAATCCAACCTCATGCCAAAAGAAGGATCTATTTGTCCACTATTTTGTGGATGGGGATAGGCCTGCACATCCTAGGTTTTTTTTCATTCTTTGGTGATTAAACCTTCTTGAATAATCTTCTGCTAGAAAAAAAAATCTCTAAAAATTAGTTATTTTCGAGAATTTTAGGGAGTCTATTCCATATGTTTCAATTGGGTTTTATTTCAATTTATTTTACATTTTTTATACTTATTGTATCTTAAGCTTATTATACTTTTATTATATTTTTAGCCACCAAGAATCTTGCGATTGCAACATCAGAAAAATGTGATTAAGTAAACAAACACAAAAATAAACATGATGAAAAAAATACTCCCACTTTTTTTGTGCTTGCATTTCAAAGCATGTCTTTTCAAAGTTCTCTTTGTCCTTCTCCAGGGATGTCAATGGCACACAATTGTGTTCAAAGGGGTGATAGGCCGATTTTTCATAGATATTAGCAGGAATCCTATTTCACTATTTTTTATATGTTGAAATTCTCGTTGATTGTACAATAGAGAAATTGGATTTTTTTTAAGGATGAATCAATAATTAATATCATACTTGGAGGAAAATCTTGATCAGGAAATCCAGGGATAATCAAATCACTTTATGTCTATGGAGCTTCTCAGTCATCCAGATCAAGGTTGTCCCAAAGGTGTTTTTTTCAAGAGGCAGCTGGATTTTCTCATTTTTCGGCTGAAGAAGCTTCTTGGATGAAAAGCAAAACATCTTCAAAGAAAAACCAGAAAGTCCACTTGCCTCTTGAAAAAAAGCACTTTTGGGAAAACCACTTTATGGTTGTAGAAGTTTCTGAATTCTCTTCTGAACATAAGCCTTTACAGCACTGAAGTGATGCAGAATTAATATAGTGAGGATGGAAACTGCAGTATGTGCATAATTAATTTTGGACACATTCATAAAATTTTTAGGAGTTGGAGAATGCCCCATTTCTTTTTCATTCTGGTGCTCAGAGTGGTATGCCAGAAAAAGAGGGAAACGAAGACCAAGTTCTGAAAAGACCATACAGTGGATTTAACCATAGATTATTACAATTCCAGGTTGAAATCAGTTCTTTTCTGGTCTGAAGAAAAGGGATTACTTTGAGTCTTAGCGTTCAAGTTTTTAGTCTTGAAGATGGTATAAAATATATTAGAAATCAATTAAACAATTGCTTCATATATAGCATATCATCTGATGATATCTGGAGAGCAGAATAACAAATGCAAAATAAAAGCAATATTTTGTATTTACCATAGCAGTATATTTTTGACCAGATACTGTGTCTTCTTTTGCTTCTTTAGTTTTTAATACATGCACATTTAAAACAAGAAACACTACACTATCTTTTACCGATAAGTATATCTAATTAGTATATCTAATTTATTTTCCATGCTGTTAACATTTAGGTTGCAGTACCTCTATATTGTTTCTAAAGATTAAAAAAAGGGCTTTTTTATTTGTATTAAAAAGAAAACCCTAACAGCTTATTTCTCCATTTTCTAAGACATATGTACAGGAAAGGAAAAACAGATGGGGTTTACACTGTGAGAGATTTCTGGTAATAATTATTTCCAACTCACACACATTCAGCTGTCAACTCTGATTTATTCTCGAAACAAAGCTGGATTTGGTTGCCAGTGATGTGCTTCATTTCTATTTCCTACATCAGGTATGATTGTGTGTGTGTGTGTTTGTGTAAAGTGCCATCATCCAATCACCATTCAGGCTATGTGCCACCTATAATAATGAAAAAGCCACATTTCTCTTTCATTCTTTTAACTAAAGTGCTTGATTTTGTGGTCTGAATTGGTGCTTCAGTGTAACAAGAGAGCTGAAAAACAAAACCAAACAATTATGTTGGGGTCACATTCTAGCCTTTCCAATTTATTCATTTAGAGCATTTCCCCCTTCCCCTCTGGGCATAATAAAACTAATATAAATGAAGAATCTCCCCTGCCCTGCCCTTCCCATCCTCAATCTGATCTCTAAGTAATGGGTTTTTAAGCCATAAACATAAGATATATAAAGACATCTCCCTTTAAATAAAACTTGCTCTCCCTTCACTGTCACACGCAAGTGCTCATCTATTTGCTGGAGAGAGAGAAAAAAAAAACCTACTCCCGCCCCCTTTACGATATTCCCCCCCCCCCCTTTTTTTTTTTTTACTCTATGCAATAGAAATTCAAGCAAGCGGATTATTACACAACGGTATCCACCAAAGGCAAGGAAATTCCTTTGCAATAAACAATAGCCGACTCGTCTTCCATGTCTTTGGCCGTCGCCATCGAGCAAGGTCAGTCCCGCTGCGGCAGCAGCTGCGGAGACTAGGGGGAAAAAAAACAACCCACCCATCCCTCCCGCCCTTCCTTCTTGCTTGGAGCACGGCAGCTGCAACGCCAAGCGGGCTGATCCGGCCATTGGCGCTGTTGAACTCGACCTCAAGGACCCTTCCTTGCTCAACCGCCGAAATCGCTGTCCATACGTGCCGCGGTGCTGAACTGGACACACGCTCTCTGTTTCCCGCGAGGAGCTGTCCAACGCCTCCTGGGTGCTGAAATCGGATTCCTTTCCAACATCTTTCCGGGGAGAAGACGAGACAGGGGCGTAAGTAGAGGTCTCTCCGGGCCCCGAGGCAAGCCTCTCAGATGGGCCCCACGACAATGGGAAGCGAGCCTATTCCGGCGCCTAGGCCTTGCGTCACATAAGATACACCGGGGAGAGAAACAGCATCAGTAGCATTAGGAGGAGAAAGCGTTCTTGAGGAAAGGCGGAGTGCGAGGTGGCTGGGGGGCGATCGATGACAACCAGATCGAGGCTGCAGAAATCTGGGCAACCTTTAGATGACAGCAAAGAAATGCAGCTCTCTAGGTACCCCTTTGCTGCCATCTAATGGTCGCCCTAATCGGTGAGCGCTGAAGGGTTTTTTTTGTGGTTTTTTTTTTTTTTTGGCCACTCTCGCCTGCAACCCGCTTTCACCTGCTGTGCCGCCCCCACCCATCGTGCCGCCCCAAGCAAATGCCTGAGCTCCTCTATGGGCACGCGCTGGCCCTGCAGCGGACCGCAGAGGTTCCCCGGCCCGCCACCCCTGCCTCGACGACGTATGCGCCATTGAAAGCAGAGAAGGGCTGCGCGGCGGAATATGGGTCGACAAGGTGGCGGCAAGAGCAGCGAGAAGCCTGACCGCAGCTTGCCGCCTTCGTGTTGATCGCTTTCCATCCTCCCTACTCCGCCGTTCTGGACAGAAAGCAGCCGCAGCTATGGAAGAAGAGCTGAAATGCCCCGTCTGCGGGTCTCTCTTCCGCGAGCCCATCATCTTGCCCTGCTCGCACAATGTCTGCCTGCCCTGCGCCCGCACCATCGCTGTGCAAACGCCGGAGTCCGAGCAGCATCTGCCCGCCATGCTGCACCCTCGGGGCCCCGCGGCAGCGGCGATGCCAGGCGCTGGAGCTCCAAGCGGGCCGGCTTCTCTGGACTACGAGTGCGGCGCCGGCGGAAGCAGCGGGACCGTTGGCGGAGACCATGCAGACAAGGTGAGCTTGCACAGCGAGACGGACAGCGGCTACGGCTCCTACACCCCGAGCCTGAAATCTCCTAACGGGGTGCGAGTGTTGCCCTTGGTACCTCCGCCTCCGGGATTATCGGCCGCGGCGGCTTTGGCGGGGGCCCGCGGGAGCGGAACCAGCTCCTCGCTCACCTGCCCGCAATGCCATCGCAGCGCTTCCCTGGATCCTCGCGGCCTGCGCGGCTTCCAGCGCAACCGCCTCTTGGAGGCCATCGTGCACCGCTACCAACAGAGCCGGGCCGCCGCTTCGGCTACGGCCAAATGCCAACTGTGCGACCGCAGCCCTCCGGAGCCGGCCGCCGTGCTGTGCGAACAGTGCGAGGTGCTCTACTGCTCGGCTTGCCAGGTCAAATGTCACCCGTCCCGCGGGCCTTTCGCCAAGCACCGCTTGGTTCCTCCCCCCAGCCAGCAGCAGAGCGCCCCTACCGGCGCGGGCGGGGCGTGCGGTGGCGGCGGCAGCAAAGGCCCGGGCCCTGCCCGCAAGTCCCCAACGTGCGCGGATCATGAGCTGGAGAACTACAGCATGTACTGTGTGACCTGCCGGACCCCCGTCTGCTATCAATGTCTGGAAGAAGGCAAACACTCCAAGCATGATGTGAAAGCCCTGGGAGCCATGTGGAAACAGCACAAGGTAAGCCTTGCCCACCAGCGGCCTGCCCTGCTCCGCAGGCCAACGGAGGCTTCTGGGTGTTATCCTGCTAAATGTGAAGAGAGGTGCCTCTCTTCTAAAGGGAGTTTATTACGTGTTTATTTATTAAATATTTATGCCATACATCTCACTGTCTCGGGTGACTCTTGGCTACTTCCCAGGGGTGAACCATTTCCTCCCCGAAAACTTACCTGGGCATTCTTCTTGCAGAAGAAGAGCTCAATGCTGAGCTGTGGAAGAAAAGGCAAACGTCATAGGCACTGCAAGAAACGCCTCTGAGGAAGTGCAGAGTTTATATCCGATACCATTCGTGGAAGATTGAAATCAGGATGACCGTTGTATTATGTGCAGGCTGAGTTTAGCACTGGCGCTTCTCATTTTAGAAAAAACACTGTTAAGACGAGAATGACTTATAGGATCTGAACAGAAAGCAGAGAATTTTAATCAACTGTCCTTATCAAGACATAAGGTGTAAGCAGGGATAAACTGACTTCAAATGGGCATTTTGAAACACTCCTGGTTTTTTTTTTTTTTAACGATTAGATGCATGCACAGTTCTTTCCAATCTCTATTGGGCTTCTCTTAGCAACAGGTCTTATGCACCTTTTAAAGGAGTGACTTAATCAGTTTTGAAGATTACTTCAGCATTATTTGCAAAATGAGACTAACACTATACCTTCCCCCTTGCCTCAACAACTCCCCCATTTGTCTCCTCTGCCGTCTGTCACAAAGGTGGATGATTTGGCGGTTCTCCCAAGCAAAGTTTTCATAGCAACTTCAGAGCCACCAATTTCTAGCCTGAGGATAGTTCAAGGTGTCCCTTGTGAGCCAAAAGATTCAGGTCACTGTGAATATTAGGGATTCTTTGGGGGTTTTGAGAAGATACATTCTCAGCAAAGCTTTGTGAGAAAGAAGTTGGCGGCCAGTCACCCCAGAGATTTTAAAACATTGTGTTTAAAACAACCAGTCGGCTAAAACAACCATGATTTTGCACCCAAGTTGCGATACAGCTTAAGCTTACAGAAATAAAGCTTAAACGATAAACAAAAAACGAATTACACATCAGTAAAAAGAAACAAACAGCAGCCAAATTAAATCTGTCTGTAGCAGACAATTTCCCATCTGAATAAAAATTGACTGGCACACAGACACAAAAATGGGGAAAGCAATCTGGCCTTCTCTTAGCAGGTAGCTTCAAAGTTTGGAGCAACAATGGAAAAGGTGCATTCTCAGGTTCCTTCCAAATACACCTCTCTGATGATAGCAGGACCAAGGAGTAGCTCTTCCTCAAAACTCGTAACACGTACTATAAGCGGACTCCCAGATTTGTATGCCAGAACAGGGCTTTTCAAATAACCATCGTCATATGTAGGTCAGAATCTTTCACAGTGAAACAGATTGGTCATTAGTGTATCTTTGTAGAAAGAGCCACATTGTGATGACCCGGGAAGCAGCACACATGTAATAAATTCCCAAACGTAAATAAATTTCCTTTAATGCCTCCAACTTGGCCTCACTGTAGGAATATCCACGACAGACCAGGATAATTAATTACAAACTTCAAGAAGGTAACAAGGCACAGTCCGTTGGAAGAATGCCAACCAAGATAAACCTCAGCCAGAAATAAAACACACTTTGCTTCTAGAAATCCTGTGTTTTAAATGCCCCTCCTTTATACTATTCCCCCCAGCTGCAGCCAATGAGGGGGATCATGGCCGCTTCCTCTCCCATAAGCCACATTGTTCCCTTCTCTGTTCCTCCCTGCGTGCCCTAGGGTCTGGGTCTTCCTCTGACTGCCCAGCCAGCCTCTGCCCTCTGACTGCCCAGCCTCCTCCACAACCTCCAGAGCCACACTTCCGCTCCTTGTCGGCTGTTCCTCCTCTCCCTCAGAGTCAGTCTCCAACAGGGGCATGACACGTTCCCTGTTCAGGTAGCCTTTGACTTATGAACACAACTGAGCCCTCATTTTTTTTTGCTAAGCAAGACAGTTAAGTGAAAGTTGGCCCATTTTATCACCTCTTTTGCCGAATTGTTAAGTGAATCACTGCAGTTGTTAAGTGAATTATGCAGCCATTAAGCAAAACTGGGTTCACCCATTGACTTTGATTGTCAGAAGCCAGCTAGGAAGGTTACAAACGGTGATCACATAATTCCAGGATAATACAACCGTCATAAACACTTGCCAGCTACCCAGAGCCCAAATGTTAATTATATGACCATGGGAATGCTGCAACTGTTATAAGGGTGAAAAAGTGTTCCTCAGTCACTTTTTTGCAGTGCCATTGTAACTTCAAATGGTCACTAAATGAACGTCTGTAAGTTGAGGACTATTTCTGATCAGCCCCACATCCAAGATGTGTTTTGAATAGAAGGTGGATCTCTTATCTGAAATCACAAATAATCCTAAATTGAGTAAAGCAATTGGAAATGATCAGTTGCCTATAGTCGTGTTCCTTTTTGTTTTCCTTTTATTTTCTATCTGATACTAAAATTCAGGAGCATTTAACCATTTGTAGCACAGGATTTTAGACTATGACAAGAATTAAAAGTACTGTATGTTATGCATAGATGGAGCTTTAAAATACTGTTCATATGGTTGTTTTTTTTAATTAAATACAACTATGTTGTCCTTACTCTTAAGTAGATCTTGAGATTGACTTGAAAACCAATTAAGCCCATTTGTCTTTGCTGGGAAGGACAATTATTGATTATTCACTTTGTACTTCAATGAAATGTCTTTCATTGCTAAATAATACATACTTTATACAATGTACGTCCCCCAGGGGACTGCATCAGCTCCTTTATTTAGAAGTAGGGTTGCTTTGACTCTGCATACTCACACAGATACATGCATGCCACGCAGGAGCCTCCTTTTATTGATAAAGTAACATGTCTGGAAAAAAAGCTATTAACATGGTCTTTCTTTATATGTGCTAACTTTGCTTAAGGGGGCCTTTTTTTAAAACTGCAGTGCAATAAAAAATGTCTGCATTGATTGCTCGACAGAGCTTGAGTGGTTGAATGAGGGCTCCCATCTCTTCAGTATTTCAAGACAACCCAACAGCTGTTTCCTTCTTCAGTGTGTACCTATATGCAGCCTTTCCTCCTTCCACTCTATTATACTAGTAATCATGTTCTGTCTTTCCTGCAGAAAGATAAAAAGGAATTTGTATTTTCTCCAACTTCAAAAAGCTACTGAGAGGTTTTTTTTAGATGAAGGTATACAGTAGCTCAGCTTAATAAGGCAAGGTGAGCCCCCTAGTGCAGTGATGGCAAACCTTTTGGACTCGGCGTGTCAAAAAATTTGATTCTGCTGGTGTGTCACCCTTCCCAAATAAAAGAAAATCAATTCTCTAGCTCTCCCCGCCCCCAAATGTAGGTCACCCTGAATAGTGGCATTTGGCAATTCAGGCTGGGCCTGAAGTTGAGTCATGGCCCTTGACTTCAGCTCTAGCCCCACCACTGCTACTCAGAAAAGGTGCCTTGTGCTGTTCCAAAAGGTGTGTGAACCTTTTTGGGAACAGCGTGACTGGCCTTGTGGCCCAGAGCTCCCCAGGATTTCCTATGTATCTTCAGGTTGTGTTCTCTTTTTCTTTACAGGCTCCTGTGGCCTACCCAAGGCTTCCTCTACTAGGGTCATACGAGGTCTTTCTTGAAGTAGCTTTTGAGAATGTTTTTTCTGTGGAGTTTGTCTCCAGTCTCCAAAAACTGCACATCCCATTCTTGTGTGATTTTTGGAGGCTCTGGAGACCATATAAGAATGGAATGTGCTTTCAGGCAGTCTCCATACTCTCTGGAAGTTATGCAAAAGTGCTGTGCTCTTGCATGGTCTCTGGATTCTCCAAACACTGTGTGAAAACAGAGTGTGATCTTGTGTGACGTCCAAAGGGTTCATGGGCTGCATGAGAGCTCCTCACATTCTTGCACAACCTCCGCAGCTCCAAAAATCACCTGAGAACAGGACGTGCTTTCAAGAGTGGATGTTAGCTTTAGGGGATTGCTGGCATGTTGTGCCATGTGAGCTTTGACACATGCCATAGGTGTGGTCATCACAGCCAAAATGGATCCCATATGACATCAGGACTTGCCAGGCCCAAACCTAGAGATGAGACAATGAAATCCAGTGGAGTACAATTTATTTGTTTATACCTAATGGACAGAATCTTGCCAAATTAAAGTTATAACCTTCTGATCGACTAGATACATCCTGAGAGATTTTAGGGTGCGGCTGTCCTGAACCTCTTCCTCTCATCCCCCTCCAGTTCAAGACCGTTCGGTCTCTTAATCCGGGCCTCTTTCTGGGAAAGCTCAATGTCTCCCCTTCTGCTCCTGCAGATACACCTTCTTCCATCACATGATCAGGACTTTGCTGTGGGGAGAAATGTCTCACCCTGAGACATTGTGACCTATCCCTGTGCCTGGAGACATGGTGTCATGCCATCTCAAGGAAAATGGCATCTCAAAAGTCTTTGGGAATTCTGCTTCCGAATGGAAATGTACCATTGAGGACTGTCTGGGCTCCTCCTATTTGGAAGGGACCCTTTGTTCAGTCTATCTCCCAACTCCAAGAGCTTTGCTGTAAATGTTAGGAAAAGGATCCCTGGTCAGAATTGCCAGGATGCCAACATTTGGATTTTGTGAGTCAGTGGAGATTTGAAGCCATACCAGTGGGGAGTCTTTCAATTTGCTAAGCCATGCATTTGTTTGCAATTGTCCCCTTCCCAATGCACAGCTTCTCCTCCAATTGCCTTTGAGATTTTATTGTAAAAGAAGGGACAAACATTCATCAATACATGCACATGATTCATAGGCTGGGGGAAAGCCAGTAATATATTTTCTTTTCCGCTTGGGAAGAGGACAAGGGGGCCATTTGTTTTTTGGCACAAAGCCAGGGAAACCTAACAGGGCTAAGCCAAATCACTCATTTATTGTCAAGCTGAAAAGGATAGCAAGTGAGCGCTGATTGGCTGGCTGTTCTTTGG